ACGACAAGCCAAGTACAAAGCCAACCGCGACAAATGCGAATTCGCGCGGCAAGAGCTAGAGTACTTGGGACATTATGTGACGCCGCAAGGCATCCATCCGCTTGCGGACAAGATCGAGGCCCTCCGCGTATGGCCCGAGCCCACCAACACCACGGACGTTCGTTCATTCATGGGGTTGGCGGGCTACTATCAGCGATTCATCACCGGATACTCAAGGATTGCTGCACCTATGACGAGATTACAATCGCCAAAGGTGCCATTCGTATTCGATGACGACATACGCCGGTCATTCCAAGCACTTAAGACGGCCATGCTCATGGCACCTGTCCTTAGCATCTATGACCCCACCCTGCCTACGAGAGTGACAACTGACGCTTCCGGCTACGGCATTGGGGCAGTCTTGGAACAACACGACAGCGACGACTGGCACCCTGTAGAGTATTTCAGCCACAAAGTGCCTCCCATCAATTCGCTTGATGATGCAAGGAAGAAGGAGCTGCTCGCGTTCGTGATGGCTCTCAAGCGATGGCGGCACTTCCTCCTTGGGCGTCGTAGGTTCACATGGATCACGGACAACTACCCATTGACCTACTACAAGACGCAGGATACGGTGAGCAGCACGATCGGACGATGGATGTACTCCATCGACCAATTTGACTTCACACCGAAACATCTCCCCGGCCTCTCCAATCGCGCAACAGATGCACTCTCGCGAAGACCTGATCTTTGCGCCATGACACATCATGCCTTCGCATTCGACGAGGAACTTCAACGACACTTCATCCGGGGCTATGAGTCTGATCCGGACTTCGCCACGTTGTATGCACAGCTATCTTCGGATCACCCGCCGGCCAGCCACTATCGCATTGCCGACGGGTACTTGCTCCTCCACTCGAGAGGCAAGGACTTATTGTGTGTCCCACGAGACCGTAGTCTTCGGACTCGCCTTCTCGGGGAGTACCATGACTCACGACTCACCGGCCATTTCGGAGTCAACCGCACTATTGCACGGCTTCGACAACGATTCCGATGGCCCGACCTCATTACCGATGTCACTCGGTATTGCGACTCTTGCGAAGTTTGTCGACGAAGCAAGCCCCACAATCGCAATCCCTACGGCGAGTTATGCCCGATGCCTATCCCACGGGAACCCGGCCTCTCCATTGCCATGGATGTCACAGAACCATTTCCCCGCGATCACCTCGGGCACGACAGCATCCTCACGGTTGTGGACCGTTTGAGTAAGTATGCGCGTTTTCTCCCTTGCAAGTACCACTTAATGGCTCCCGAGCAGGCACGCCTCTTGCACACCGGTTGGATTTGTGGCCACGGTGAACCGGAAGACATAGTCAGCGACCGCGACACTCGCTTCATGTCGGCATTTTGGACTGCTCTCATGAAGGAGTCCGGCACGAAGATGAAACCAAGTTCGGCTCGGCATCCACAGACGGACGGGGAAACGGAGCGGGCACATCAAACCGCTCAAATGATGCTTCGTACGCTCATCCGTCCGGACCAGAAAGATTGGGTTGACCGCCTCCCCGACATTGAGTTCGCCTACAACACTTCGGTGTACCCGGCGATCGGCGTGACTCCATTCGAGTTGCACCATGGTGGATGGAAAGGCCGTATCTTCGCCGACCTTCTCCTCCCACGACCAGCCAACATCGACGCCGCTTGCTCTCCCGCTTTCATCCGGAAGTACAGGGAACTGCTGGCTCAAGCCCGTGCAAACATGCAAAAGGCTCAAGTCCGCATGCAGCAGCAAGCCAACAGGCGTCGCGTGCCATGTCCCATCCGCGCCGGTGATCTGGTTTGGGTCTCCGCGGAAGAGTTTGCACTGGAACAGGATGTTTCACGCAAACTGCTTCCCAAGTGGTTTGGACCATGGCCCGTAACATCAGCCACGAGCGATGAGCCCGATGGTCCTTCATTTGTGATCAACATCCCTGCGCATCTGTCGGTCCATCCAGTCTTTCACGCCTCGAAGCTGGCAACATATACACCAGCTAAGAGCGACGACTTCCCAGGCCGACGATCGCAGGACCCTCCATCTATGGATTGTCATCAGGAAGTTGACCGTGTCATCACGAATCGCAAGTACGGCAGCAAGCCTCGCCAGTAAAAAGTTACATTAAGAGCATGCGATCCCGACGACACTCGGTGGATTTCATGAACAGATTTGAAAGCATCCGCACCGCTGATCTACACTCACTACGAGCGACAAAGGTTAGCTCAGGGACCTTCACGACCTGCCCCTCCCACCCTGACTGTGGTCCCTCCCTCAGACAGACAGCTTCGCCCTCGCAGGTAAGCTCGGTCTTTCAAGGGGGGGGGGGTGTGGCATACTGCGTAGCCACACCGCCTGCAGGGCCCGTCCCGCATTCCCAGCCTAAAAGCCTAGAAATAAGGGCTTACAGGCCCCTGTCGTTTCAGCCTGAAAGACTGAAAAACGAGGGCCTGCAGGCCCTATGTCATTTCAGCCTAAAACAGGGCTTTTCAGCCTGAAACGGAGGGCCACTTTCGGGCCCTCATAAGATCGACCTGTCCTAACACTAGGCACAAAACCAGGGTTTCGGGAACAGGCTATCTTTAGCCTGTTCCCACGACAACCTCAAGCAGGAGCTGCAGCGGCAGCCCCTGACTCCCTGCGGCATTGGCAAGAGCAGCCTCCTGGACTGCCTCGCCCTGCAGTCAAGAGGCACGCCGAGAAGCACATAGGGAGTTCCCATGCACTTCACGGGTAGGTAGTTGGACAGAAGGCAGGAGTAGTCTTCAGGATTTCAGCTGCAGCACTCACGAGGAGCGCTGCAGGAGTAGCTTAGCGCTAGCAGTAGTCTTCAGCGCTGGGCGCTAGTAGCCATAGCAGTAGTCTTCAGCGCTGGGCGCTAGTAG